TTGCAATAGTTAATTTGCAATTACACGGAAGTGATCAAACGCATCTACGGAATCAATTCCATTAGTATTAATACATGTAAAAAAAAGAAGATATAGCAATAACACAGTCGACGACATTGGCACCTCAGTTCACAAAACAAGTACATTTCTCCTTTTGACATCCTTATTAAAACTTTCATTAAGGTAGAGATGCAGTTTGCCCGACATGTATTTTAATTAGTTAATTAGGAAACCAAGATGACCTCCCTTGTCCACAAAACTATATATTTTCAGAAAGCTTATTGTATGGATTTTAAAATTTTGTTAGTATTTTTTTTATGGACACTATAGTTTGAAATATGAATAAAAATGTGCATTTTTGGTCAAAAGTGATTTAAAAAAAATAGCTTCTAAACTATGCTTCTGTTTCCTGTCAAAATAGGTTTACGGGTACATCTAATTACTATGAAGAAAGTGCCGTCTTGAAAACTGTCTACCGGTTGTCAATTTTGCAGGGCAGCAGTTCAAATTTCACTACTTTAAGTTTATGCATAAATTAACACCCAGGCTAGTTGTCTGTACGATTGTTGTAACACTGTTCAACCAAAAACAATGCCCCAACGGCGTTTTGAAGATAAACACATTGTCAATCATTTGTGAAAATTTCAAAACAATAGGTCAAAGCGTCTAGGAGCTATTTTCTTTAAAGTTCTGGGATGGGCACTAAAAAGAAGCTGAGATAATTGCTAATTTGCATAACAATTCACTCAGTAAGAAGTTTGCTAATGCTCATAATTAAAATGGCTGTAACAGTTCCAAATTTAAATGTATTATCATTATGTAAAAAGTTAAATATTGTGCATAATATGGAGATCCCGTCATTACTTTTTTTCACCGTGTTTCTCTTTTAATATTTATGTACAGCCTTGCTCAATCTTGCTAAGCATTCAAAAGAGAGAATGTTTGCACCTGCTATCTATATATAATCGTCCTTTGAGTATGTTCCACTATTCACAATTCTACAAAATTTTAACAGTTTATAAGACTGTTTGAATAATAAAAAGCAAAAAAAGAATTCACTCTTAAGTGCCCACAAACCTGCGCTCTACCTTAAGTAAATGAAAGTTAAATAAATCACATGATCTACCAAAGTTTTCTCGTTTGATGATCTATGAATATTAAAAACGACCAAACCGACCAAAAAAGGAAGTTGTCATCATTTGTGTCAAAAACAAAATCAGGCAAGTCACCCGTACTTGCATTAAACTTGACATCCAATATGAAATCACAATTCCTATATCGTTATACAATTCTTCCACATAATATTCAATTCCAGCGATATATACTAAACGTATTTTTAAGGCAGTATATAAATATGATTCAATTACTAGCTATCAAATTGAGCATAATTGCACTAATTCGAAATAAACGTTTTTAGATTGTCTATCGTAGCATTTCCGATTTTTTATTTGGTTTACAGGAACATCTAAGCTAACTGTGCGCTGAATACATTGCAACGTTTGCGAACTATATATTATTTATAAATCGAATTATCTGCGCAGTATTCTTGAGTTTACTACTAAATTTAACATTAATCATAATCATAATACAACTGAGACAACATTGTAGAAGTGATTTTAAGGAGACTGATTCAGTAAGTTCATATGCATGTTTCGGTTTCGATTGTTCATGAGAAAATATAAATTGAGTGTATCAGGATGTGCTAAAACAACATGCAATGCTGTGACTAGTACTTTGAGTGATAGAGTCATTTTTACCTGTCAGAAGATAATTATCTCTTAGACTATTCAAAAAGTGCCCACCTACAAATAAGATTACGCGAATATTGTATTGTATCTGTAGAAATCGTCTTATTTTTTAATCCACAAACATCAAAATACCCTTATGTTTCAATCACTAGAGTCGTATTCCAGCTTTGTGTGATTCGAAGAAATACTCTCACTGACCCCTGAAACCATAAGAAGGACTTTAGTTGTGTACAGTTCATGAGAAGTCTTATCTAATATAATCAAGATGTCGAATTTATGTGACAACCTATGTTAAAGGTTGCGAACTTAGAAAGGGCTATGTTCGGTACAAATGAATAAAAAGTACTATTATATGCATATAGTTCGGTGTGTGAAACTTCTATTATCTGATTATAACTTCTAATTAAACCTAAATACGCACACAATTCACTTCTGCTACATTTATTGACATAATTTAGTCCCATAAACCTATTTATCTGTAAGTGTTTTAATTCTAAAGATGAGAGTAACATACGGGGTAAATATATTTGTCTTCGTTTTGGTTGAACATTCACAGCATATGAGCACTTAGTAATGGTTTCGTGTTCACTTCATGATGTTTCGAAGCAATTAATTAGCTGCAGTAAGGATTGTGAAAACATGCAGAAATTCCGACTCAACTGTATAACGTCAAACAAACCAGAATATACTGTATGTGAATGAACTACGATATCTCGGAATAATATGAGATCATTACGAGGATACCTCAAAGTATGCATGAAGACAGTACAGCTGGAGTATCGATGCGCGGCGTACTATCTGAGTACATACTTTGAGGTATTCCCGTAATAACCTTATTATTATACATCTTTTCCTTCCAAGGATACACAATGGAAATGCCGAAATCAAAAATATTTAGAACAAAAGCGAACGTCTTTGTGTTGAATCCGGTCAAACTTTGGCGGCAGCCATGTTTATTTTTATTATTAGAGGACGCTTACGCGCGTAATCATTCCATATTTGGAATTCGCATTTCCTAATATGGTAGGATGGAAACATTCCGTAAAATATCGCAAAATTACGGCATGCTGTAATTTATGGCGTTACGGTGCCAGATGTATAATACAGTAAGTCTTATTACGCTTTGCCATGTTTGAGACTATCTCAGTTTTCACATACTTTTCACTAATAGACATGCTTCCATAAAGTGAAACGAGGTATTATTCCTATACATCGTATTATAATACAGTTTGGTTGTTTAGCCCGCGGCGTAGAAGACATGAACTGTGTTATGTTTACATGTACCCATATACTAGGTTAGCGTCATAGAGATATTTAAATGTAATTTGACATATTTTTAATTTAATGAATGCGACAAGGCTTTGTACAGTACATTACAGCATTAGTTGCCGAGAAATGCAGAAAACGACTGAGTCCGAGACCGTTCTGTATAATATACAAATAACGCTTATTTTTAATCTCATATGTGCATTAGTGATTAACCAATGTCAATGGTATTTTTTAGGAAATGTTGTAATCCGGCGTACTTGTACTTATAATATATATATATATATATATATATATATATATATATATATATATATATATATATATATATATATATATATATATATAATACACAGCATTAATCAATACAGTTGTACATGTTAACGCCTTTTTTTCTCCCCATAGCAGAAGAGAAAGGACCACTATAGTTGATTGGTCCACTCTTGTTCGCGTACCCTATCTGTGAAATGGAAGCGACCGCAAATGAAGACACGCAGTTAAACAGCACCATCCTTTATGCTGACACTGACAAGTTGGTACCACTGCATGCTGCATTCGTACTCTCCGATTTCTAATAGTAATAACGACCATTGACAATGTCATCACAGCACAGTTTGAATAATACACTATCGGAGTGGCTTCGGCTCAAGGAGGCGTATCCGTCTTTGTTCGAATACGATGATTACAGTGACTATTACGAGGTTAACTACCTTCCGGATGTCAGCGTGCCTGCCAAAATAGCTCTTTGCATCGTTTTAGGAATCATTACTATTTTTTGTGGATTGGGTAATACTTTATTATGTATAACAATATTTCGCTTGAAGAGGCTTCGAAATGTCACTAACCTGTTTATTGCCAGCCTAGCTGTTTCCGACCTACTGGTGGCTGTTATATGCGCCCCACTGAGTCTTTACTATTACATAGTGCAAAACTGGGTATTTGGAACCGCGCTATGTACAATTGTGGGTACGGTGAAAAACGTATCATTGAACGTGTCCGTGAACACATTGCTAACCATCGGAATTGAAAGGTAAGTATCAATTACTATTTTCTCGATTTTACCAACATCATTCGACACAGATGCGTAACACAATACACGCGTGTTTATCATTCGATATAGACAAAGGGGTATTGTTTATAAACTCAAACTATTTTGAATAACACTTCCGCTGTATTTGTTACCAACAAATATATGTATTACATTTACATAAAACCCGCAAATACACGACAACTGTTTTTTTTTCAACCACGAGTTACATATAAGACATGTATTTTTTATATTCGAGAATATTTACTTTGACGTAAAGAGAGACGAAAATACACATCAAGTTACAACGTATTACATTACACTATAATATATCGGTTGCATTATAGTAAACTGTATTACATATATTACACTTTACGGTATTACATTATATATGTCAATATTTGTATTACGTTATTTGCTGTACATCACAAGACGATAGAGCATTACTCAGTTGTGCTCCGCCCATCTAGAAGTTTCATAATATTTTAATCTTGAATTCGGTAACGGTATTCGGTCTGAGAGGACATACACATAAAGCCACATCAATTCAAACGAACTCAAGCAAAACAATACATTAGTAATATGTCTGATAACAAAACGAGTCTCAATTGCACTATATAGAAGAATGAGGTTCACCTAAAACGCATCAACCAATTGATGCATCATGCTTTATAAATATATTAATATCAAAACTAAACATACACAGTCCTTCAGGTTTGCTTGAACCGATACTATTTCGTGGTGTCATTATCTATGCCATTAGATACAAAACAATCTATTCGTCACTTCAACTAAACAATGTCAAGGTGTACGCTGCCATTGACACAAATCAGCGTGAAATAAAATAGACATGCTATTATTTGCACGTAAGCTTTACAATGTCTGGAAAACCAACAATGTTAATATCCGTAACTCAGGTCGAACTGTTTTTGAACTAATATTGTATTTTACGAAAAGACGTTGTCTTTATGTTTATAATAATTGTCATTTAAGAGCGCCTGACGTTCAAGTTTTCTGACCCGAAATTGCATAAGTGGAACTTTGAAAAGCATCTAAGTAAAACTGAAAAGTTCAAACCATCAACGCATCGTACGTCCTTACAACATTTATACTTACATTTTTGTCTATATAGTACGAGGCTGGTCAGCAAAATATTCGCTGACATGAATCATTCCACAATGAGTAATCCTTATATTATCGTTCCTTGTCTTATAAACACATTTCTTCCCATAGAAGTAGGACATTGCACACTATTGTCCAAACCGTGACTCAACACCATTGCAAACAAGTCTTCCACGTAAATGCGACTTTAGATGTACGTGGGAAGATGGTCAAATCTGAAGGTGTCACAAATCAGCTGCATATTTGGTTGATAGCACCGATGGATGAAATGTATGCAGCAATGTCATTTTGATACTGTTCAACATTGTAACCATTACTACATATCAATAAATCAAATAGAATTCTCGAACACAAAACACAATATATTGTATAGCGTTTTGTACGCTACAACACAAGGATACTCCATTCCACGAGAAACACACCGTGACTCACTTCGTATGTAGACCAAATACAATATTTCTAGGGCAATTCTAAAATAAATTTGCTGAGCTAAATTCACCCTGCAGGGTCAGTAGTAAGGAAAACAATACACAATTATGTTGGTGTAGTTAGTTCACAACATGGAAGACTTTAATGTCGCTCATATCTCGTGGCCTATCAGTTAATTTGATGAATATTTTTTTTTGTATGGATGTATTATAATTCAAATTTGCTGTGTGGAAACTGCTATCGTAACATTTTATTCACCGAAATACTACTGGCATCAGTCAGGTACTAATGTTTCGAACGTCGTGGCGTACAAGTACGCGTCGACAAGCTAGGTATCTTGTTTCACGTTAAATCGCCAAAACCGTTAAAACCGTTAAATTGTCCACACCGTTAAAACCATATGTCTAAAAATTATTTCCGCTAATCATTTCACGACCCCGACTATAAAATCCTCATTAAAACGCCTTTTAAGATTGGACATGTTTTTTCAATGCAGTGACTGGTGTCCGTACACTGAGTCGAACTATACACACATATGATTGTACAAATTTGAATGAGTTTTGCATACCTACAATTTTGTGTATGTCCTTAGCTAAGTACTATACTACTACACAATGGGTTTTATATTTTATACAAAATTTATATTTATACAAAACCTTAGCATAATTATCAACTGGTGTGATGGAATATTTTTATTGTATTGCTGGCATTGGGTTTTAGGTATATAACAGCCTAGCCTTGTCTGCTTGGAGCCTGTATGTGATGCCAGTGTTGACTATCTGTATACCGGAATAAAATAAACTATATTTATTTGTCTCAGATGCAACGGTGCCACTTATTTATGAGTCTTCAACAGGATCAGTGTTTAATTGCATAAGGCAGCAGAATTTGAATAAAAATAAATCTCCTAGACTTTATTATTTGTGATGCTGACTTTATTGTTATTTAGATATGGTTCAAACTAGTATTATTGTAACTATATATTACCACTACGCAAACTTCCTGTCTATCAAATCCGGTAATCCATTTTTAGAACCGAATGACCGCGAAGACAATGCCACATAGCATAATTAGTCGAATATAAACTGCAGCGAGAAGGTCGATTGATGGATTTTCATTTTGTTTTGTTTGTTTGTTTGTTTTTGTCTAATCATATTGACCAAATCATATCAAAAACAATGGGTAACAGCACCAGCAACCCTCGAGGATAATGTGATTGGTTTATCTTGAAAAGGGTATGTGGTGTTGTTTCTTTTCATTGTGCACGTGGGAGAGGGGTTATAATCGGATTACAAACTTGTGAGATGCCGAACTCGGACAACTACAGTTAACTGAACGTAAACATGTATTTAACAATCCACAGTGAAAATTACATAAAACATAAATAAAACAAAATAAAACAAAATAAAATAAAACATAAATAAAGACAATTCTAGCTCAAAACTAGGTCACGCAAACAATAATTTCAATCGCAAAACACTAAACTTATTTCTTCCCCTGAGTCTTGTTTTACGGTATCACACAAAAGTACCGTACACGTGTCGTGTACAGTTTCATATTTACAAACGTTTTATTTACGGAACTATATGGCGTATACAAGTATAAAGTATACAACTATTTCTTTTTCTTTCTTCGAGAGGTCATGCCATGGAAACCGAAGATGTGTTGAACTCATTCTATAGTAAAGGCGTCGCGAATAACAATAAAAACTTTTTTTTTTTTATTTTTACGTTCGTTTTACCTGAATATAATAAAGTCCAAATTACTTGATTTGCATGTGACGTTTTTTCTATTGTTTCTGCTGTCTAAATTATTGCTAATGACGTGTTGCCGTTATTGTTTAACATTACTAGATAATTCGAAATTAAACGGCAACGTGGCGAACACTCCACGTGAATTGATGAAAAAGTCCGTTGCATGGTTATTTGGCTGATCCAATGTCTCAATGATGACGCCTTTGACAATAATGACGAGTTAATCTTATACGTCCACGCTTCTCAATGTTAAAACATGGCAGCACGAAACAGCCAACATCGCTAAGTGATATGTACGTAACTTGTTCAATTTACCACTGCGCTAAAAAATCAATACCTTGCTGGCGTTCTTATTTCGGATTAGTTTGGATTTGTAGTGAGTGACTTTAATACAAGTATATTCACTACAAACCGTCACTGGCTAATTGATTATTTATGTGCTATTGGTTCAATTGAAGGATTAAATATAAGTGCTCATTCCAACAATCGATTGGGTAGATTATATTCGATAATATCAACATAATCAATGTCACGCAACACAGTGATCCTAAATAGACACTCAAACACTCACATTATTCAAGTGACAAGCTTCGACGTCTTTGTCGAATGGACCCAGTAAAATTTCAAAAGTTTTTTTTACCAATGTTAATGTTATTTTCGTGTTAATATACGACGAGACATTAAACTCGGAAATGCGATGATTTAAATTGTCTAGTAATTAACATGGTAGAATTTGAGGACGTGATATTATGGCAGTTTTTTATGTTACTATTCAGCGTTTTGGAAAGTGTATTGTTGACTGATACGATTACACATATTTGAATCATCGACGGAATTTTTCATTGGAGTAAGACCGTGCCATGACTTTAAATGCAGAGTAGGTCAAAAGTTATGAATGCAGTTGAGACGTCAGAGAATCTATGTCCTCTTTTGTTTCATATACATTCTTCGAGAGGTAGAGCATTGTGAACGTGTTTTACATTTCCACATAGTCCCTACATCGGACAAGCAATCCTCGTGTACACTTGCATCATATCGGGACATACCACATCGCGCCCCACATCATTAATGCACCTACGTCTTAACATATATGTAATATGTTCGTTTGTATGATTTGAAATAATAATAATAATTTTAAAAAATGCGAAAATATAAGACCATATATATATCTTGAATATATAACCCTAAGATTTGTAGATAAATCAAATTTAAATATGAAACGATTAATTCAGTATTACAATTCCACTCGAGTGTGAATTAAAACGTAATAATCGTCCAACAGTACAGCGGCTAATTTAATTATTAGTTATTACTCAAAATATAAAATGACGTCACATGCTGGAATGCGCTATTATAATTGATTGTAACAATATATACAAAATAAACTTCACCAAACCGTGTGAACATACGTCAGATTTTGCTGAATAGGCGTTGGAATACTAACAACGAACGCCGTGCTTCCGTGCAATATTGTGATATACAATATACATACTATATATAAGCTACAGTACTAAGAATACAGTATCAGTATTAAGAACGGATGTATCAGATATAGGCATGCATTGGTGCAATATTTCAGCGCAGACATTGGACATTGTTCTAGTCAGTTTTACTAGCAAGAAATATTCCAATATAAAGAAAGAATATATTACGATTGTGTAGAATGTGAGGAATGTTATGCAATATTTATATAGATCA